CCGCCCTCTGCCGCCAGGTCCTGTCACTACCTGACCCTCGGCTGGACCTTCTCCTACCTGCTCTTCTTCCGGACGGTGACTTTCTTCGGGCTGCCGGCCCCCACCCCCTTCACCAACGCCGTGCAGCTGCTGCTGACCCTCAAGGTGCTGCAGGGGGTGGGGTGGGGCAGGGAGGCTCAGCAGGGGGCGCTCTGCGCTCCTGGTCACTGCTGGCCCCTCTGGGGCACTACGGGGTGACGTGCCATGCCATGGCGGCGGGGTGCTGGGGGGCGCTGTGCTGCGGCAGTGGGGCACTAGGGGGCGCTGTGCCGTGGGGCGGGGGGGGAGGGGGGGGGGGGGGGGGGCGGGGGGGTGGGGCGCTAGGGGGCGCTATGCTGTGGCCACGGGGCACTAGGGGGCGCTGTGCTGCAGTGGCGGGGCGCCGGGGGGTGCTGGGGCGTCGGGGGCGTGGCGGCAGGGCATGTGGGGGCCCTGTGGTGTGGTGGTGAGGCACTAGGGGGCGCTGTGCCGTTGGGTGTGGGGGCGCTGTGCTGTGGAGCATGGGAGGCGTGGTGGCAGGGGGGAGGGGGGGTGCTGTGCTGTGGGGCGTGGGGGGCATGGTGGTGGGGCGTGTGGGGGCCCTGTGATGTGGTGGTGAGGCACTAGGGGGCGCGGTGCCGTGGGGCGTGGTGGTGGGGCGTGTGGGGGCCCTGTGGTGTGGTGGTGAGGCACTAGGGGGCACGGTGCCGTGGGGCGTGGGGGGCGCGGTGCCGTGGGGCGTGGGGGGCGTGGTGGTGAGGCACTAGGGGGCGTGGCGTGGGGGGTGTGGTGTGGTGGTGAGGCACTAGGGGGCGCGGTGCTGTGGCGGTGGTCCCGTAGGGGGCGCTCACCCCGTGGGTTGCTCCCCCTGCCCTAGATGGTGAGCCTGGCCAATGAGGTGCAGGAGATCAGCCAGGCCAAGAAGCAGGACGTCACCTCGTTTGCCAAGGGCCCCGCGATTGGGCTGATCCCCAGCGTGCCGGGGCTGGGCCCCATCCTCTGCTACAGTTACTGCTACGTGGGGCTCATGACAGGTACGGG